GAAGTCCACCCGTCTTCAAGGGGCCAAGGTTGAGAAACACTGCTCTAATCAAAGAAGTCAGTTTGTCCATCCCAGCAAATCTTGTCACTTTCGCCAACCATTCCTCCATGGTGGGTAAGCTCAAATTCCCCGTGGAGATTTTGAACCGGCTCTCCAGCATGGGCCCAGAGGGTTGGACTAGATGACCCTCGGGGGTCCCTCCCCACCCCGCCCCTTTACAACCCTGCAGCCCGGTGGGCCAACCCGCTTGTTCCTGCTAGAAGCAGACGCTTGGGAGAGGTCCCTGCCCAACCGGGTGCCCTCCCCAGAGGCTGGGCGGGATCCCTGGGGTCCTCGCTGTTGCTTTGTTGGTTGCCGGTGGGACACAGAACGGCTTCTTCGGCGTCCCCAGAGCTGTCCACCAGGAATTTGAGCAGCTGGTCTTCCGGAGGGAGCCCGTTGCCCTTCACGACGGACTGGTGGCTGCAAGGAAGGCCAACCTGGCTTGCCGTTACTCAAAAGTAAGATCGGCGGGGCTCCACGAGGCTCATAACCATGACAAAGCACGATTAAGGGGCTTTTCCCCCTTCTGCCATGTCCCCACGATGCGGCCCTCATCCCATCCCCAGCTCGGTTTAAGGAGAAGCAAAAGCCACAGGTCTTTTATTTCTTTTATTTCTATTTCAAGTTTAGATACCGCCCATCTCACAAAAAAGTGACTCTGGGCGGTTCACAATGAAACGACAATAAATATCAATTAAAATACAATAAAAACAATATAAAAATACAGTAAAAATGGAATTTTTCACTAAATATATCCAGCGATTCTGTTTTTTTCCCCAAAGCACCCACCCCTATTTGCCACGTGCTGAACCAAAGGACATTTTGATCCCCCAGTTTTAAGAAAAAGTTTTCTCAGCAAGCTTCACTGTGGGATTACCCCACAATTTGGGGGGAGAAGAAGGTTTAGATTGGAAGCTTTTTTCCCAACGCTGGCCATGTATGACTCGAAGCCCTTAATGGAGAGAAAGTAACCGATTTATAACTAAAATATGAGCTGAATTCTACCAAGAAACTGGAGAGTTTATTCCATTTCGGGGGGCGGGTGGGGATTATGAAATGCATCCTTAGCAATTGCAATAAACTAGGAGATAACAGACTTCTGTTTTTAATATTAGGAATTATACATTCCCATAGTCAGATTGCAGGCGTTCATTAACTGCATAATGAAATGCATTTCTGCCTAGAAATGTTTTGAACATCTCTTCAGCTTAGCCGTGGATCAGAGCAGTACGGCTGGGAATTAATTACGGCTGCGAATTTTAATCCAACGTGTATTGGATTAAATTCATCTAATACAGTACTCTTTTTTTTACCCCTATATTAGACCTGTTCCCCACTTGACTGCTTCTAAGCGTCTTGATCTTTAGTGGATCAGACCGGTAAATGAAGTAATCTCTGATCACATTCCTGTAACTTTGTCAATTCAATGTCATCCATGTGCATTAAAGATTATTAAAGGGTTCCTTCCTTTCTGATGGCTGGGAACAAAATCCGGCCATCTGACAGAGGACTCAGAGACCCGGAGAGGTGGGGGGCTCCTCTCCTTGGGAGGCGGGAGGATCCTGCTTGACTTTGGACCCCCGTCCTGAGCAGCAAGTGAGCCTGGATGCCCTCCGTGGGCCCTCCCAACTTTAGGACCCTTTGGGACGGCCACCGCTGGGGCCAGGCAGAGTTCTGGAGGCAGTCGACTGCTCTCCGTTGCCTTTTGCATGGAAAGAAAACCGCCAGAGGGAAGGTTCTGCTATTTGTACCCTCCCTAAAAGTCCAGGGACGCAGCATGGAAAGGAGACCCACCAGACCTGGGGTAACACGCCTTTGTCTGGAAGCACCCCGACCCCTGTCCTTGAGGAATTCCCTTTGCTGCTCCTGCGAATGCCCGGGCTGATTAAGAAAGGAAAGAAAAGGGGGAAAGGGGGGGGGAGAGGGAGGGAGGGAAAGGAAGAAAAGAGGAGAGGAGGAGGAAGGAAGGAGGAAGGAAGGGAAAGGCGAAGGGAAGGGAAGGGTTACCTGGCTGTGCATTCACTTTATATCCCACCTTTCATTCAGGAGCTCTATGGTATATATATCGTATGGTATATATATCGTATTCTCATCTCCTGTGTTTTTCCCACAACAACCCTGTGAGGTAGGCTGGACTGATGGCGATTGCAAGGTGCTGGGGTTGAGGCTGGATTAGAATTTGGTTCTCCCCCGCTCCTAGTTCATCACCATTGCATCATCATAACAGATCAACCCAGCAATGCTGGCTTGTTGCCCACGGCTTCTGCTTTGCAAATTAGGCCACTAAAACCAGTTCAACAACTGGACATTAAGCGAAACTGGTTTAATGCAAGACGTGAAGCCAGCGATACCAACCGGGCATTGTCTTGGCATCTGCACCTTTGCACGGGCACAAATCTGTTCAATTCAGGCATTGGAAACAGACCCTGAAGAATGCACCCCCCCCCATTTAAAGGCGGTATCCCCGAAAACATTGGCTGGGGAAAAGGGATAGGATGGGACCTGTTAGCCTTCTGATCCCCTTTGGAAGCAATGCCCCAGGCTCCGTCTCCAAGCAGGACGTCACCGAAAATGTTGGACTTCTGGAGGGCGTGATTTGGGGAGGGGGGCATCCGCCTTTGGCCCCCTCCAGCCCAGCTCCGGGGCACAGCTTTGCAACTCCACTGCTTGCAAATGAGGCCGCTCGGAGGCTGTTGAGTGTGCAAGCTTGCCCCCTACAATTTGCTGCAGCCAAGGACGTGGGGGCCCTCCCCACTCTCTATACAGCCCCCACTTCCCCCCCCCAGCCACTTTCCCTGGAGCTAAAAGCAGCATCTCTCTGGTGGACAGCTGTTGGCAGCATGAGAGAAAGTTCCTCGTGCGATTCCTCGTGCGAGAGGAGCTTCCGAGTCCAGGGCCCAAAGTTGCGCAGGCGTCAGAGCCAGCAGCTCAGCACTGAAAGGCGGGTTCAGATGCTGGCATGCGCCACCTGTGATTCCAATGGCCAAAGGTTTTGCACACTTTTGCACCCTGTTTTGCACCCAGGCTGCTCTCAAATTCCTCTCTGTAATCACAAGGCTACAGGCTGCCGCCAATCAATCCGATACGGTTATGGAGCGGCTTTTCTGTCTATTTTAGGAAACCCTGAAGGCCCCTGGCATTCCTCAGCTCTGTTCCCAGCGTGCAGTAGCGCCCAAAGCATCTATTGTATTTGCAAAGGAGGCTGCCCTCAGTGTCTCTGTGTGATGAACTGTTCTGGCTTTCCAGTCGGAAAGCCTTAAAGGATGGCGAGGTTATTGCATCTGTGTCTCGATTGCGAGTGGAGCATTCAGGTTCCTAAGGCGAAGCTGGTGCCATTTCCATTTTCAGAGGAGGCTGCCCGTTTTGCCTCTGAATGAGTCCCTGCTCCTTTACAATGACCACGGAGAGATATGCAGCGTCCTCCTTTGTGTCGCTTTCAGCATCTCCTCTCCTCTCTGTGTCCTTGCTCATTAAAGAGTAAGTAACAACATCAGTCAAGCTGGGAAGCTCATCAGGCTGGGCCTGATGGGCCCTTTGGATGGGAGACCACCAGGAGATTCCCAGAGCTGGAGGCTAGGCAAGAAGTCATCACAACTTCCAGCAAGCAATCAAGGCTAGATTGCTTCCAGGCTGTTGCAGAGATCCCCAGCATGCTTCCAAACAGATCGCTGTGCAGTCACACTGTGTGAATCTCTGCCCCGTTTGCCCCTCCCTTACAGAGCAGACTTACAGGCTTGGGGGGTTCACACCTAAGGTCCCACCAAACCTTTGAAACTGGCTTGCGGTGCAAAAGGGGCACCCTGTTCTTTGCGAGGGTGGAAGCTGGCCCAGTTACTTTGCACAGTTACGGGACTGAGACCCAACAGTTGCTAAAGGAATTAAGCGCCATTTGCATTATGGGGGGGTCTCCCCGCCCCCCGAGAACCAAGCCACAATGTCCCCCGTTCGGTTTAATCCAAGCTAACACTGAGTTTCGAGAAGCTATCCCCACCCTCTGCCTTTGGTTTCTCAGCGGAAACCCCGAGGGCCGGAAACTCCGGTTTTCCGAGCGCTGCAACGGAGTCCAGAATCCTCAAGTGGGACGGGGTCTTAGAGGTCATCTAGACAACCCCCCGCCCAGTAATGGAGGTTCGCTTACTCTGAAGTGAGGGAAGCCCACGGGGGGCGGTCCTTACCCGCACAGGGGGCACGTCAGGCGGCTCTCGATGGCTCGGCCCCGCAGGCAGCTGGCGCAGAAGTTGTGGTAGCAATCCAAGAGGCAAGGGTGCTCGTAGGGCTCGTGGCAGAGGAAGCACACCAGCGGGTGGCAGTGGGCGTTGTCGAGCTCGCACAGGTTTTCCAAGGGGGTGAAGATCCCACCAGACATCTGGATGCGAGCAACAGGAGAGGGGGAGGTCACCACGCAAGCGGGAGGCCGAACGCCCGCCCTGCCGAACCGCAGAGACCAGTGTGACCCCGAGGACTGCAGGCGTGGCCCGGCCTGATCTCCACCGCCGAGGGACGTTTCGTTCCAAACTCTCAACCGCCTCGGGATGGCTCGGAGGGGAAAGCGGCGTTTAGATAAATGAAGGGAATAAATGAAATAAAATAATCTGCCCGGCCTTTGAGAAGATGCCCGAGGAAGAATGGCATGCGCCTAGGAGGCTGCGTGCCAGGTCTCTGAACTGCACAGGCGCCAGAGCAGTGACTCATGCAGAGATGCGGCCAGCAGCCTCCTCTGCTGAGAAATGCCTTGAGCTCACAAGGGTTGTCTGTTGTTTCTTTATTTTGTGCCAAAGAATAGCTGTAACCTTGGAGCGCGTTAGCTTGGCCCGCCCCAAAGCGTTATCTCTGCATGCTGGAATCTCCAAGACTAACGTAACCTAGGTTTATATATAGCTTGTTACAAAGTGCAGGCGTATTTATGGACCGGGTGTGTTTATCTCCCTGAACACCCGCTAATTTTCATGTGTTCTGGTTGCTGCCCGTGACCTTCCATTCCTCTTCAGGCTTAACTTTCTTTTCTCCCTTCTTTTCCTAATGACTGAAGGCGTGGGAGTTTGGACACAGAGCCTCTTTTAATTTCTAACGAAAATATTGCGGAAAATCCAACTCTGGATTTTTCAAAAGCTCCGCTTGAAAGGCTCAGAAAGAAAGTTTGCTCGCTCCGTAGTGGCCTCTGCTGGCAGAACTCAGAAATGCGGCCTCTGCAGCTGAGCATCCTCGTACAACTTTCTGCGTAAGGGATTGAAGATCGATGCAGTTTGAAGCCCAGGTTTGCAAAAGGGAACAAGGGCGGCCTTTTGCCCATTTTAGTAAGGCGCTCATTCCCCCCCCCTTTGCTCATGAATATTCAAATAGCAGAAAAAGTGGTTTTAAGCCTCAGGTTTGGGGGAAGGCCAGAGAGATCGATATTAATTTCCTGTTTCTTTCAGAACGAGGGAGGGAGGAGGGAGGGAAGGAAGGAAGGAAAGAAAGAGAGGGAAAGAAGGGAGGGAAGGAAGGAGGGAGGGAGGAAGGAAGGAAGGAAAGAAAGAGGGAAAGAAGGGAGGGAAGGAGGGAAGGAAGGAGGGAGGGAAGGAAGGCAAGAGGGAAGGAAGGGAGGGAAGAGGGAGGGAGGGAAGGAAGGAGGGAAGAAAGGAAAGAAAGAGAGGGAAAGAAGGGAGGGAAGGAGGGAGGAAGGAAGGAGGGAAAGAAGGAAGGAGGGAGAGAGGGAAGGAAGGAAAGAAAGAAAGAAAGGGAAAGAAGGGAGGGAAGGAGGGAGGGAAGGAAGGAGGGAAGGAAGGAAGGCAAGAGGGAAGGAAGGAAGGGAAGAGGGAGGGAAGGATGGAGGGAAGG